TAGTAATAAGCTAATCGAGTGACAGTCTTCTATCGTGTATTCTTGCTTGTCACTGAAGAGAAATTACTATACTAGATGAGCAAATTATCCTCATGACGAACATAAGCTACAGAAAGAAAATATACTTTGTCAAAAATAATCTTATTGATAACCAGTAACAATCATCACTAGCAATAATATTCCATCTTTATGTTTATTTATGTCCTTCTTTCTGAACTTAAAAAGCAGTTCACAGACATGACTTCTCCACCTCATTAATTTTTACTATACCCTTGTGAAGAATATATTTATTAATGCTAAAGTACATTATTAACATTAACAAAGCTGAGCCATGTTTATAAATATTCATTTAGGAAGAACTTAAAATGAAAGATCCTCACGGGTAGACATTCAGACATGTGAGGGGTAGGTTAAAAGAGGAAGATGAGCAAGTGTGCAGCAGCTGCTCAAATCCATTAGCTGCTGAAATGAAAATTGAAAAAAAGATTTATAATGAATAAAGTGAATATCTTCATGATTAAATTCAAGTTAAATGTAAAAAATTGGTTTGATTTTATGTCAGGCTAATTAAATTTGCTATTGAATTGACATAGGGATGTTGTCGAGATCTCTATATAAAGCCTCAAATGAGAAATTTCTATGAGAATTAAATGTTAAGAAAAGATTTTCTTCTCTTAAGGAACTCAGGGGAAATTAGAGTCCTTTAAATATTTGTATTTCCCATTTTTCTCTGACCACTAGGAGCCACAGGGAAATATTTATGTCTTGACCACAATAATTATGAGACTTTATGACCTAAGGATCTTGAACTCTTATGAAATTTATTTTTTCTGGTGCTGTATTTATTTATTTACGTATTTATCTTTTATGATACATGATTTTATATAGCAAGTTAAATAAATCACCTTTGAAATGAGGTTAAGACAAAACATATCAGTAAAATAAAATAATTATCATATAAATATACATTTGCTATTTTGAATTGTTGATATGTTGGGTAACAAGAGAACTGGAACAAAACTTTAAAAGAAATTAGATTTGTTTTACACTCACTTAATTTTACACCCTTTGTTAATGCTACACCACCAGCTAAAGCTGTCACCACTCCTTTATCACCATTCTCTTCAAAAGCCAGAATCAATGACGATATTATCAGCTTTTGATAATGGCCACAGTCATCTTTGTCCTGTCTCAAATTCATTTAGAAAATTTAGCTTTCCAAGGTCTAACCACAGATCATCCAATAACAATAAAATTATGAGGAAAAACATAGCAACTCGTATGTTGGTTGTGAGCATGAAATTACTTAATGAATTTAAATGACTTAGAGCATTGTCTGCCACATAAGTAAGCATTCAATACACGTAAGCCACTAATGTGAACTCAAGACTTTAAAAAAATTGTTTTTTAAAACCTCTTTCCTAAACTGGTTTAGCAATACTAATGTTATCCTACCCACCACTAGAACTTATTTGAGACAGTCTTATATGCATCTCTAGGATGTAGATTTTAGTCTCCAGAACATTATGCATTATGGCCAATGAAAAGTAGCTGAATCTGTTCTTTGCTAGGGGGATCACGATGTTATTAGAATATTTTAAAATATATTTCTGGTTAATAAGAGGACAAAGAATCTAGCATTAAGGAAGTTGCAATAAATAGCCAAATTGTGACAATACGTATATGTACATGAATAAGTTGACTCTGCAAAACACTCATGTGATTCTAATGATACTCAAAATCAGAAAGATTAATATAATGTGTATGTGTACATATACAATATATATGGAATTTTCATGCAAAAGGAAGATGACTCTAATAGGATATGTTTAAATTTTATTATCATTAATAAATATGGGATTTTTAGCATATGGGTATCTTGATTCTTCAGTTAAATATGTATCTATTAATAAAATATAGATCAATACTTTTTCCTATGAATATAATTAGGGGAGACCCATCTAATGTTTATTTAACACTGTCCAATAAGTCTTAGAATTACACCATTTTAAGCAACGACGTCATATTCCAAAAGGCAAAAGCCTATGTAAAAGCTATAGATTTAAAGTGTCATTGATATAATATAAATAACGTTCAAATTATAAAAAAGGCCAAGTCTGTTAAACAGGTCTCACATTTGAATAGAGCAAACAAAATTCAATTGGTTTGTAACTCAGAAACTGACTCTGGACTGGGTAATATGATATTTCTTACTATTTGATTAGAAGACCACAATTTTTCTATAGTACTAACATAGTGTAGAAAAACATATCTGATAAAGCTACTGTGTGGCATATGATAAAATTAAGGTATAAAAGGTAAAAATGTTTATTTAATAAAATTATTGTAAACTGAGTAAAGCATAAAAGTATGTCTCAAGAATAAGTACAAGGCAGAGTTTAGTTATAAACATTAATCAAAAATTTTGTAATAATTTTCATAATTTGTATATTTGTCTCCTTTTATGACATTTAAAACATTTAACAGACTCAGGTATTAGATATAAACATTCAATTTGATTAAATAGGTTTTAATAATTATCTAAATTTACTAAATATTTAGTTTTGAAATATTAGTTGTGTAATGAATATTTAAATTTTTGCGTAAATAGTGGCTGATGGATATAAAGGATTAATGATTTCAACTTTAAAATATGTAAAGAGTAATGAGTGTTCCTCTATTCTCAAAAGCCCTTTGGACATTAAGCATTCTATGAACAATAAATAGGGAGTTCATTCTCTATCTATCTGTGAGGCTGGACATAGGAAAACATGATGTAAAGAAAAGTTGCCAACAAGTTTTTAATCTCACTTTACCTTCATATCCTTTCATTTCCTTTTAGAAGCCTCTTTTCTTTTTTCTCCCCAACTTGTACCTCATTTTCTCCCCCTAATCACAAAACTACCTTGATTCCTAGAATCCCATAGCACCCGTGCCCACACCCAGGTAGACTAGAAAGCAAGTTGATCTAGTCTTCACTCTTTCTCTCTACCACCTATATTTGCATTTTTTCCCAAAGATCACCAGGAAACAAGATAAAACTAAACCTAAAGGACTCCATTTTTTATATCATCACTGTAGACATAATGGCATCTAGGTGGAGGAGTAATTTTGAGGCAAAAGTGGCCTTCATTATGTAAGTGATTGACTGCTTCACCCAGGCACCTTATGGGCTCTTATGCATATGTATGGCCTCCAGAACAGTGTTGAGTCAGGTGGATGGGAACGGGGAGAGACAGGGTCATAAGGTGCTACCAATGAATGCATATGTATGTCTACCCATAATGTTTAAGTTAAAAATAAAGCAAATATTTCTCTAAACTAAGTTCAGGACAGCTCGATGCTGAATAGATTAGGTAGGTAGGTAGGTAGGTAGGTAGATAGATAGGTAGATAGATAGATAGATGATAGATAAATGATAGATAGAGCCTCCTTTGTCCAGTCATTGAACTATAAATGCTGGTGCCAATGTGCTCATTCCAGGTGGGGGTGAGTAGTTGACAACTGTGACTGGTCTTTGCAGGAATCCTAGGAAGGCACAATCATACAAACACCAAAGATCTTCCAGTAAAGAAATTTCTGCTCTGAAGCATGTAGAAAACTTTGCGTACTTTGCCGCCACTGCTGATTTTGGGGAGAAACAATTGATATACAGGCTATTGCTAATTGGTATACTTGTGTCAGGTAGTATAGGCCAAAAAGAAAGGGATAAGCCACCAATATTTGTACATCATGTTCTCTGGATTTGCTGTATCTGTCTTGAAAAGACTGCTCTACTGAACAGAGGAGCCATTAGGAGACTTATTTACTTTGTTAATTAAGTGACTTTTTTAATGTGTGCACTGAAAAGTATCAGGTTCTGTGAGATACCACGTAATATTTTCTAAAATCAAGGAAGTATATTTAGGCTACTATCTTGGTATATCTGCTGTCTGTAAAGAACCTAACTGAACTCTTTAGCCAAATCTACTTTAAACGATAACATCTAGATTTTTCTAGGACCCAGCTCAATATTCTCCAAACTGTATCCATTATCATTCCTTTATTCTTTCCTTTTCTTTTTCACACTCCAATAATAGGGTGTCTAGATTCTGGGTTAAGTAGAAATAATATGTGAGAAAGATTATATAGAAAAAAAATGAATTATTCCATTCTTCAGGGTGTAATTTTAACCTAAAAATCATTTTGTGATAAATTATATAGCCAATATAGTTAAGTATGAATTATTAACATGATGATTCCTGGCCCGCCTATCTATTTTTCAGAGATTGTAATCCTCAAGAATTTAAATTCAAGTAGGGTTACTTATTAAGAAATAATACTAAGATTTTTTCACCCAGTAGCCTCGCCTCAATTTGGTGTAATCCCTCATTATAAGTGAAATAATTTCAAGAGTTTTAAGAAATAAATACATTTAATTAATTAGGTATAAGATCTATTTTAGAAAATGTATACATTCTAGTATACATATGGAATCTTTTTTTTAATTAAAAAATTGAGACATCTGGGAGGGAAGTTATAGTCAGATTCTGAAATATTAGCATTTCAGAGGCATTTCTTTAGTTACTTGACTATAAGCAGAATTTTTAGAATATGCTATCTTATGTCCAGAAGAATATACAGCAAATAGTGACTATAATAGACAGTAGAAGAATAAAAGCAGCTAAGTGGATATTTTAAAAAGCAGACAGAAATAATTAGAAATCTATTTTTTTTACTAGATTTCAAAAGATATTTGAATTCTAAAACTTTATCTGTTTCCATGAATAGGATTTTTAACCTCTCAGACTAGTATGTTGAGCTTATTTGAAGAGGGCAAACATTTCAGGGAATTTCAAAACATCTCAGGAAGAAACACATTGTTTGCATAGTTCTAATCCTTACCAAGGTTTTACCTCTATTTTTAAATTTGAGGTCTTAAGCTTTGACCTAAGTAAACTGGAAAATTACATATACACATACTGTATACATATATGGAAGAAAACGTATACTTTACTCACAGGCAAACTGAAGTATGGCTTCTCTACTAAGAATACTTCCAAAAGTGTTGGCTGCTAAACACTGATAATGACCAGAATCCTTTGCTTCACTTGGATTGCTTATAATGAAGGTCCCATCTATCAAACTGTAGCGATAATCACTTTCCAAATCTATCTCTGTTCCATTTCGAAGCCATCTTAGGAAAAATCAGAAGACAAATATGTAAAAATTACTTGAGACATTATAATACTCCCTGGGAGTGTCAGAATCTCATTGAAGAGAATTTTTAAGACAAGCAAAACGATGAATAGTAGTGAACTTCTACCTGAAATTGGGAACTGGGTTGCCACGAACTTCACAATTCAGTGCTACTTTCTTCTCATCAGAATCAGTTGGGAAAATTATATCATCTGGTTCTTGCACAAAAACTGGCCCATAGTCCACACTTTCTGTAAGGACCAAAAAGGACACACTTTAAAATATCTCAAAATATCAAGACATTTTGTTTATTTATCCATTATGTTTGTGTTCAAAATTCTTGCTCTTTCCTTGTAATCATTAGGCAAATTACCAAAAGTAGGATGTAGCTAGCAAATTACATTGATTTAGTAAATTGCAGAGACCTAAATGAAATTTTTTTGCGTGATTGACTAAGACTGCTTTTAAAAATACGATATATATAACAGAAAAATAAACATCTCAAATATTGGTATTGCACACTTTTAAATATATATCTTTGTATTCATCTAAAGTAGAGCTAAGGAAAATAATATTAAACATATTTTTTTTTAAAACATAAACTTTGTAAAATCTTATAATGTTAAAAATAATATACAATAAAGCAAAAGCCATGAATTAAGATTGTGTTACTACTTGGGTACTACAGATATGAAAATATTGGTCCTCATGCATTCTTCATATATTCCTTTCTTCATTCATTCAATCAAGTACTATTTAGTGCTAACGATGCTGGAGTGTAAGGGAAAAATGATGTAATCAAATAAATACGTTCTCATGGAATAAATGAGTCACGTCCTCAAAAAAGTCAAATAACTGTATAAAAATATCAAAACTGCAATTAAGTGTTCACCAGTAGGTAAATAAAGTAATAAGGAGATCAGAAGAGAAAAGGCATAAAAGGAAGGCAAGAGGGAAGAGAACTTAAACTTATTAAGTGCCTACTATATGCCACATACTAGATTTTGTCTCATTTAATTAGTTAATACTCAGAGAAATCCTATGATAAGGGTAATTTTAAACTAATGAAAATTTCTTGGAAAAGTAGAAATAAAAATAGGTTATGAGAGCTGTCCTGTGCCTTGTAAGATGTTTACCATCATCCCTGGCCTCTACCCACTAGATTCCAGTAGCATACCTCCCCAAAGAGTGATGATCAAAAAGGTCTCCAGACATTGTTAAACATCCCCTCGGGTCAAAATCACCCTTGTTTAAAACCACTGCCTTAGAAAAATGAAGAGGGAAGATTTTAGGAAAGACATATTTCCAAGTTTGTACCAAACAGTTGGAGGTTTACATCCTCTGTGGATAACCACAAGAAAATATCAGGAGAGAAATGTAAGAATGAATGCCCCAGGAAACTCAAACTTAAAAAAATTATTACTGAAAAAGATGTATACTTCTATATTTAGAATAATGGATTTAGAGTAAATTGATTTGCTTTCTTTAATCATATTATATATCCATTCTTTTGGGCAAAGAAAAACAAAAGTGTTCACAGTATTCTAAATATTCAGCCAATAAAAACTGAGCACTCACAATGAGCAGGCACTGACAAGTATTTTTTTTTGAGTCCTAGGTAACATAGCTGAAGTTCTTTTTCTTAAACTACAGCAAAAAAATGTTACATGAAAATAAGTGAAATGTGTTTCCCCATACCAAATTACGAAGTAAGTGATTTGGTAAATAAACAGCTAGAGCAAATTATTGACAAAACATTGTATTTGTTGTTGCACCAAAATGGATTTATAAAAATTTGGAAAAGCACATGAAATCTTCTCAAATTCCCCATTAGAATTAAACTGAACAATCAAGTCATGAAAAAAATAATCCCTCTGGTCTTTACACATTAAAAATACAGGTACATCTCACTTTATTGTGCTTTGCTTTTTATTGTGCTTCACAGATAGTGCATTTTTTACAAATCGAAAGTTTGTGGCAACCCTGTGTCGAACAAGTCTATTGCTGCCATGTTTCCTAAAGCATTTGCTCACTTTGTGTCTCTGTGTTGCATTTTGGTAATTCTTGCAATATTTCAAAGTTTTTTGTTATTATTATATTTGTTATGATGGTATGTGATCAGTGATCTTCAAAGTTCCTATTGTAATTGTTTTGGGACTCCATGAACTGCGCCCCTATAAGATGGCAAACTTAATCAATAAATGTTGTGTGTATTCTGATTGCTCCACCAACCCGCTGTTCCCCTATCTCTCTCCCTCTTCTCGGGCCTCCCTATTTCCCAAGACACAACAATATTGAAATTAGCCCCATTAATAATCCTTCAATGGCCTCTAAGCATTCAAGTGAAAGGAAGAGTCATATGTCTCTTGCTTTAATCAAAAGCTAGAAATGATTAAGCTTAGTGAGGAAGACATGTTGAAAGCTGAGATAGGCTGAAACCTAGGCCTCTTGCACCAGTTAGCAAAATTGTGAATGCAAAGGAAAAGTTTTGAAGAAAATTAAAAGTGCTACTTCAGGGAAGACACGAATGATAAGAAAGTGAAATAGCCTTATTGCTAATATGGAGAAAGTTCTAGTGGTCTGAATAGAAGATCAAACCGAGCACTACATATCCCTAAGACAAAGCCTAATCCAGAGCAAGGCTCTAACTCTCTTCAATCCCATGAAGGCTGAGACAGGTGAGGAAGCTGCAGAAGAAAAGCTTGAAGCTAGTAGAGGTTGTTTCATGAGGTTTATGGAAAGAAGCCATCTCCGTAACTTGAAAGTGCAAGGAAAGCAGCAAGGGCTGATGTAGAAACTGCAGCACGTTATCCAGAAGATCCTGCTAACATAATTAATGAAGGTGGCTACACCAAGCAACAGATTTTCAATGTAGATGAAACAGCATTATATTGGAAGAAGATACCATCTAGGACTTTTATAGCTAGAAAGGAGAAGTCAGTGCCTGGATTCAAAGCTTCAAAGGACAGGCTGACTCTTGTTAGGGGCTAATACAGCTGGTGACTTTAAGTTGAAGCCAATATGCATTTACCATTCTGAAAATTCTAGGGCCCTTAGTAATTACGCTAAATCTACTATGCCTGTGTTCTATAAATAGAACAACAAAGCCTAGATGACAGCATATGTATTTATAATATTGTTGACTAAATATTTTAAGCCCACTGTTGAGACACACAGCTCAGAAAAAAAGATCCCTTTCAAAATATTACTGCTTATTGACAGTGCACCTGGTCACCCAAGAACTCTGACGGAGATGTATAATGAGATTAACGTTGTTTTCATGCTGCTAACATAACATCCATTCTGCAGCCCATGGATCAAGGAGTAATTTCGACTTTCATGTTTTATTATCTAAGAATTGCATTTTGTAAGGTTATAGCTGCCTTAGTGATTCCTCTGATGGATCTGGGCAAAGTAAACTGAAAACCTTCTGGAATGGATTCACCTTTCTAGATGCTATTCAGAACATTTGTGAATCATGGGGAGAGGTCAAAATATCAACATAAGTTTGGCAGAAGTCGATTCCAATCCTCGTGGATGACTTTGAAGGGTTCAAGACTTCAGTGGAGGAAGTAACTGCAGATATGGTAGAAATGGCAAGAGAACTAGAATTAGAAGTGGAGCCTGAAGATGTGACTGAATTGCTGCAATTGCATGACAAAACTTTAACTGATGAGGAGTTGCTTCTTATGGATGAGCAAGGACAGTGGTTTCTTGACAGAACCTCTCCTAGTGTAGATGCTGTGAAGATTGTTGAAATGACAACAAAGGCTTTAGAATATTACATCAACTTAATTGATAAAGCAGCTGCAAGGCTTGAGAGTATTGACTCTAATTTTGAAAGAAGTTCTACTGTGCGTAAAATGCTATCAAACAACTTCATATACTACAGAGAAATCATTTGTGAAAGGAAGAGTCAATCGATGTGGCAAACTTCATTACTGTCTTATTTTAAGAAACTGGCACAGCCACCCCAACCTTCAGCAACCACCACCCTGATCAGTCAGCAGTCATCAACATCGAGGCAAGACTCTCTACCAGCAAAAAGATTATGACTCGTTGAAGTCTCAGATGATGGTTAGCATTTTTTAGCAATAAAGTAATTTTTAATTAAGGTATGTACATTGTTTTGTTAGACATAATGCTATTGCACACTGAATAGACTGCAGTATAGTGTAAACATAATTTTTATATGCACTGGGAAACAAAAAAAATCATGTGACTTTCTTTATTGCAATGTTTGTTTTATTGGTGGTCTGGAACCAAACCCACAATATCTCCGAGGTATGCCTGTGTGATTATTTAAATTAATATCATAAACACCTATGATGCATAAATTAACTTGTAATAAATATACATATTTTTATATATTATAAAACTCTTGTGTATTAAAGTCAGACACATGGGTTCAAATTCTAGTACCTTCATTTTCTAGCCTTTAGCCAACTATTTTTATTCTTTGCTGCTCCATTTATTAATTGTGAATAATAACGTCTGCCTTACAGTACTATTACGAGTTTTGATTGACATTACATTTGTAAATACTTAGTACATCACAAGTACTCAATGTTATAATTAATAATAATAATAATAACTAACATTTACTTGTGATATAATTACTACATGCCAGGAATTATACTAAATAATTTACATGCAATATACCATGTAACACTGACAACAACCATGTAACTAATTAATCCCATTTTATAGATGACAAAACTGAAGCTGAAATCAATTAACTATTTATGTAGTTATATAGCGAATAAATGACAAACCTGGGATACAAATGCAGGGCTGTTGGAATCTAGAAGCTGATTACTACTACCACTATGATTACTACTCCTAATGCTATTACTTATTATAATAAGAACAATAATTATTATATTTATGTTATGACATTTATAAAGCACTTTCATATATATTATTATTTAATTTTCTGAACTGAGCATTATAATTATTTCTAATTCAAGATGAAAACTCTGAGGTTCTGAGAGGAGACTTCTGCAAAATTAGCCACATAGTAAATAGTTGATTTTAACTAAGGTTCTGTGGTTCCAAATCTTATGTTCTGAAATTTGTCAAAACAGATCAAGAGAAAGAAAGGGTTGTCAGGCTAGGAAAAAGCAGAAGGGTAAGATTTGCAAAAATAAGGTACTAGATTGAACAACGTGTATTCTATTATTTCTGCCTATACTTTGTTAGATATCTCTTCGTTGTTCATTGTCACTTCCAAAAGCATCTTAGCATGTGC